AATTATTTTCAGGAAACTCTTCTGAGGACTCTCTAAGCTTGTTCACCCATGCATTGTACTCAGCATCATTAGGTATTCGTTTTGTACAATAATCACTTTCATAGCATCAGTGCGTCATGTTTTTATGCATGTGTATCAAATCTTCACGGTCGAAATTTCACCAAATTATGAACAATTGTTTTTTCTGCACTTGGTTTTTCCACGATCGTAGTTTTCTAAATAATCCAGGTGAAAGCAGTTTTGAGTTTTCGAAAGCACACCATTGAGAAGAGCGCATCTGAAAACCTATAAAAATATTGTTTATAGGCTCTCGGACTTAAAGCAAATGTTTTAGTGCCTAGTCAAGATTGTCCACTCTCTGGGATGGTGGTAATTTTTATTTTTCATTAGCAAGTTTGCACCATTCATTCACGAACGTGTCGTAAATATGTTGATCAAATAAAACGAATCGAATGTCGCTGACATTAAATGCATATTTCTGTACGGACTCAAATGCGATTTTTGCAGCTTGCTCTGTAGGATATGCATGTTGACCACAAGAAATTGCTGAGTAAGCGATTGAAGCCAATCCGTATAAATTCGCCAAACTGAGTGACGTATAATAACATGATGTTAACTGAAGAGCAGATTTTTGACATTCAGCAGCTGAATAAATAGGTCCAACAGTATTAATAATGAATGGTGTTTTATTATCAGCGTCATTAAGAAATATACGTGACTGGCCTGTTGGACACGAGTACTCCTCGAAACGTTTAGTCATTATCATTACTTGAGCTGAATAAAAAGATCCTCCGACACTGTGGAGAATATTATCTAGACCACCATCGGGTTTCATATTATTATTTGTCGGATTAACAATGGCATCGCACTCTTCTTTGGATAAATCACCTTGTTTCATTGTGACTACGAGTGAACTATTATTAAATTTAAATTGTATACTAATATTATTGGGTCGAACAATAGTTCTAAATATTTCGAATAAAAATATACCTTCGCATGATTTAGTATGTATCACCTACATGGCTGACATTCTGTACTCGTTGATGTTATTCTTCAATATTGCGTGTATCGTCGACGTGTCTTAACTTTATCTCCAGTTCTATACGGCACAAGTTCAACAATTAGTCTAAATATTTAGTGTAGATATTTCTTTCCATCTGAAGATAAAATTACGCCGGATACAGCCAGAAAAAGAAACCCAATATGCTTTCGATGCGTAGCATGCGTCACAAATTTATCGGATGGTGCAGAATAAATTAGACTGTTTGTATTTTGAATATTTCTATTCTTCACTTGATTGAAACACTTTTTTTAATCAAAATATTGCTCTTGAAATTCTCTACAAAACCATATATGACTGAATCCAAAAAGGTTTTAGATTTATTTGAAGAAAGATGAAAAGTAAAGACATACAAACAGCTGTAAAAAGTAAATATGAAAATGGTGATGGACCGGTGAAAATTTATCGTGATTTGACTGGAGTGGTTTCATTACAAACAATTAAAATCAACAGCACTGACTCTATCAATTTATCGTCTCCTCCTGGCTGCCCGTGCACAGGTCGGACAAAAGCCAATATCTCGAAGGTAAAATGGCGCCTAGCTCAGAAGAAACAGGTGTCAACAAGGAAATTGGCTGCTGAAAACGAAAATTTCAGGAAGAGGCATACAGCGAATATTACGTGCAGATCTTGACTGCTTTCTATACAAGATGATAAAGGAACCAAAACTGACTGATATTTACAAAAACAAGAGAGTTCAGTTTGTAAACTGGGTATTGAATAATTAATTACACCAAATATGACACCAGAAAATGGCTTTTTACTGATGAAAAGTTTTTTGATTTAAAAGGGGTGTACAATACTCAGAATGATCGGGCGTGGACAGTTAATAGGAAAGAGGCAGATAAGAAAGGTGGTGTATATCAAACATCAAAATTTCCCAAAAAGGTGATGGTTCGTTAGATGTATGCAGCCAGCAAGGTTGCCAGATGTCTCCCCATAAGGGGGACAGTCCCACTTTAAATCTTTGTTCCCTCCAAGAATCTTTCCACCAGGATGTCCCTCTTTTCAAGAAGCTACACCTCCAGTTCAACTTGAGCGTTTAGCAATTTTTCTTATGTAAAATTTCCACGGGGGAAACAGCTGATTTTTCGATTTTCGCCAACTTTCAATGACTCTTACCGAGTGTTAACGATTTTCGATTTAAACTGTTTAAATTGAAAAATCAGTTGTTGCCCCCTTAGCGATTTCAGATAAGAAAAAGCACTGAACGTAGAATTGAGAATTAGAATGAATAAAAACTTAACGCATACTAATTTTCTTTCTTTGATTTTAAATAACAAAGAACTTCTCAAAAGTATTCGTAGAAGTAAAAAATATGTACATAGAAGTAAAAGATTACGTTTAAATTGATCATTTGTTGTTTTTAGTGTAAAAAAGATATTTATCGTAAATTACATATTTTGACATAGTAATACTAAAAAAACCAGAATAAAAGAATATACTCAAGTTCTTTTAATTTTCTCAATGACATCGCACGCCAAAGGATGTGTTTTGTGTTGTTTCCCTTTGTAGAAAAAAAAGTCCCCCATACGTCTCCCTTTCTCCAGACTATGTCCCTCTTTACTTTATTTTCAGCTGGCATCCCTGGAAGCCAGCGTCTGACAGTGTCCGCGATTTTGGAAGACGGAACAATAAATATAGAGAAATACATCAAGGAGTTCCTTGCAGTAGCTGTCAGATGCGACAACAATATATTAGGAAACAACTGGACATATCAGCAGGTTGATGCTAGACCTCACACACATCACTTGAGTCAAAAATGGTGTGCTGATCATTTTGGTACATTCAACCCGAAGAACCGTTGTCCACCTAATTCGTCTGATTTATGTCCATTAGATTATAATTTATGGAACGAACTGGCTGAAGTTATGAATTGGGACCACATAACAACAAAGGCAACACTGATAGAAAAATTGAAAAAAGAAAAAAATTTACATTCAGTACTTGACTGCACTGTACGATTACGTTTGATTCCAAAAAGTGGTGAAGATTATATTCGTTGAATAAAGTATACCGTTTTGTAGAGAATTTAAGAGCAATCTTTTGATAAAAAATAAGTATTGGAATTCAGTGAAGAATAAAAGAGAAAAATATTAAAATTATAAATTCTAATTTATTTTATGCCACCCGATTAGAGCCCTTCATGCATAATCTGTCCTGTCCTGATAGGTTAGGACAGGTTATAGATTACGAAAATTTTTATAGAACAGGTTGCAGGTTACACTACCCGTACCCTGTTTTCAACCTGTAAAAAATATATTAAGCGCCATCTGTAAGGAGGAAGAATTAAGAACTGGAAAAATAGTTTTTATTAATCAAAAAAATATTTAGTGCATCAGGAAGCGTATTGGAAACAGAGCTGATCACCTGCATAATTTTTCACCCCTGCGCGGTACCGCGCAGTGGCAAAATAAAATTTACCCGCGTTGCAGTTTGCAAAAAAGTCTTTTATTCTGCACAGGCAGAGGCTGAGGATGAAAACTTCTGCACTACCCTGCCCTGCAGGTCGACTGCAGGTGGACCCTAAGGCGAGGTATAAAAAATTTTTCCTACTGACCACTATCAATCTGTATTACACACTGATAATTATAGATTGTATCACCAGTTACGATTCACTATCCTTGTTCTATATTTTTCTCTTTCTGTTATCATTAACGTTTTGTCATCTTCTATATACTGTACGTAGTGCGCATAGTAAAAGAAACATATTACATACAATAAGAGTGAAATTCATTGGTTTTCTTTATTCTATATTTTTCGTTTAGTTTAGTTTAAACTTTATTCCGAAACTTCTTAAAAGAAATACAAAACTGAGTGTGCGTTTGCAAAAACAAAGTATCTCTTTTGAGACGTAGCCTTTTATTCATTTAAGAAAGAGAAATAAGAAAGTCATTCTACATAGATGGGGTCTAGGCCATTATATCAGAGGAAAATGACATAGCAAATGATATAAGCAATTACAAATAAAACGTAGACATACAAAATGTCTAGTAGACATACAAAAAACAACAACTGTTAGTTAGTTTCTTTTCGTTACGAGATCATTTTTGATCTGAGAGATGTTAGGGTTCCTGCAGTTCAACTATTCTACAGAATTCTATAGAATTCTATGTTGGTAGAGATACATTTATTACTGACCAAGTTTGATACAAGCGAAAATGTATAGAATTCTGCGTTAGCATAGATATACTTTTTATTGACCAAGTTTGAGTCAAGCGGAAATGTTTAGAATTCTAGGTTAGTACAGACATAGTTGATTAGTCACGCACTATCATGCACTACACGCCGCACTGCACGTCTGTACTAACGTAGAATTCTATACATTTTGTAGATTTCTGTTTTGGGAACAACTCGGTCATATCATGCTTTAGCTGTGAAATAGTTGTCGTAGAATTCATAGGGAAAATGTAGAATATTTGAAATGTAGGAATTCTGCCATTGCTGTTTGATTTTCAGTATGATCAATATTTCTCTTTGTCTCCTCTCTCTTTTTGTTCTCCACACTAAAACGTCTTTCCCTGCAGTACAGGTAAAATCTTCTTCCCTGCAGGGAGTGGAGGCAGGAAAATATTCTTCTTTATCTGCCGACCGTCAGTGGAAAAAGTTTTCATTCATCTGCAAACTCAACCTGCCTGGAGATACATTATTGAACAGACATTTTTGAGATGTGTGATCTTTTGTTGTTGTTTTTTGCTGCATAAATAAAGTAAATGAAAAGAATTTACTTTAGTACGAAAAAGTTTCGAACTTGGGTACTCATTTTTTCCCGTAATTTTTTCGCAGGACAATACAGAACGAGTTACGCAAAAGTATTGCAGGTTAGGACAGGTTACAGGTTATGAAAGGTTATACGTAGTTAAAGTTTTTACCGAACAGCTTATAAGTTATGAAAAAGTTGTAACCTGCAGGGCTCTACACCCGATACTATCCATGTGTATTCAAGATCCTTAAATAACCAAAAGCTGAAAGAAAAGTATTAATAATATGTCCCAAGGTTAGAATACGCGAAGGGTAGAGAATTTTTTTAATCAAGCATGAAATAAACAAATAAATGGTAGCTTTTAAAATTACCTGAAATTGGATACTATATACGTACACAATTAGTCCAAATAAATTTTATTCAGAATATATATTGCAAATATACAAATTCTTACGAAATGTGTTTTCGCAAATATTTTCTGCCATGTGATAACAAGTATTGCTAAAAGAAACACTTCATTTTTATTACTTTTTTTGACTGAATATATTTGCTTTTTATTCGCCTTGCTTATGTTTATCCTACGTCTTTTTTTTCTTTTCTTTTAACTTACATGCCTTTCTTATGTTTAGCCTATGTCTTTTTTTTCTTTTCTTTTAACTTACATAAATTCTAAACAAAAAAACAAATGCCATATCTCAGCAAAAATATTTTAAAATGTTGACTTACATCAGTTTTGAGTGTAAATTCTTTTCTTCATGCAATCACAACAAATAACATTGCAGGAACATATGAATATAGTACAGGAAAACATAAAAACATCCAACATGAGTAAAAATTCTAGTCGACTTTATTTTAAATGGGTGCTGCAGGAAAATTCAGGGTTTTCCGGATTTTGGACTCTAAGTGCATTATCTATTACAAAATAACGACAACATGTTTTGAGCTCGTGGTTGCGTGGTTTTGTACTTCACACTATCTACTACTTATGCAAAAATCTCCAAGGTTAAGTAATCTGTTGTTACTGAATTATAAGGGTTTAAAGTTGGCCAATTTTCAAGATGGCGGAATCCACGGTTTTGGGAGCTTTTCGTAAAATTTCAATATCTCAGCAACGATACAACGTTTTGATTTGCGCCTTTTACCAAAATTCATTAAAATGTCTACAAGAACCCCCTACTTTGGAAAAGTTTTGAGGACATTGATTGAAGAACATCGGTCGTGGCTTATGTACAAGGGCTCTTAAGATCAATCTTTAAAGTTGAAATACTGGAACGCTGCACTACGGAGAAAAGACACTCAAGTTTTGACGATGCTTTCTCTTTTCTTATGAGTCAAAAGGAAATGTCGAGAAAATCTGAAACTCCTACAACATAGACACTTTCACATACGGAATCGAATGGAAGTGTCAAGAGCCGAAGAAAATAAAGATTTTTAGAACCGGTTTTTCAGAGTCGCGGAACTCAAAATCGTCCACGAACTTGACCCATATTTCTCTCGAAGGAAGCATTTTCGAGGAAAAGTATGGATACAAAAGTTATTCAGAATCAGATTTCCTGGAGTATGAACGAAGGATTTTTTAAAACTCGTCCTAGACTTTTAAATTAAAGTTTGCGAAATTTTAAAAAACCGTATTTTTCAATTTAAATATCCAGTTTAATAAATTTTGAAAAACCCTTGCTTGCTGTTCCAAGAAATCTAATTCTTTTGTACCCATACGTTTCTTTGGAAATGAATCGAGCGAACTTTGCTCCATGATGCTTTTAAAAATACTTTTTGATCCAAAATTCCATGAGGCAGGTCAAAACGAAATAACTTAGTCAAAACTTTACTGAATGTTTTTATAGATACATCTTGATGTCCTCTGTCGATTGACAGTACTGATTTGTGAAGTAGAAATTTTAAAATTTTATTGAAATTTGAAAAATACGGCAAAAAACCGAGGAAAAATTTTAAACTTTTTTTTCCTAAAACTACAAGTTGGATGACCGAAAAAATGTTTACCGTATGTATTCCCAACTATGTTCTACAAAACGGTCTAAAAAAGCGAGTGAAGCTACTAATAAGAAGAACAATTTATTTGCTAACACCAGATCTCCAAATAGTATGTCATATCAACGTGAAGAAAAAAAACCTTCATGCATAGCCGCGAAAAAAAGCTTATTTTATTCAGCGCACTCTATAAACGAAAAGATTTTCTGTTTTTTGGTGAAGGGTACTGCCAATAGTTTATGAAAATTTTTCAAACAAAGTGGCGAAAGAAAGTTTCCATAGGAAAATAATATTAGTGTCAAAATTCTGAACTCGCTAAAAATAGAAAATCTTCTCGTTTATAGAGTACGCTGAATAAAAAAAAGTCTTTTTCCACGACTCTGCATGAAGTTTGCTTTTCTGTTGGGGTTATGTTTCTGAAACTTGACATGAGTTTTGGTGATTCTAATCAAAACAACACAAACTAACGAAATCTTAGATAAATAAAGTAGATTCGAATTCGTTTGTTCAATTTGATTTTGCTTTGTTCATATTTTAAATTCCATGTGGTCAAAATCACTTTCGATATCTGTATTCATCGCTTTATTCAACAGTGTTAAAAACGCTTTGGACCGTTCGATTAAAGAATAAACAGTAAAATTAACACCATCTGTTTCCAACAGAACTATAAACCTTCTTTAAATACTATAGCACTATGTTTATCAAAAACGAGTAAAACTTTTCTACAATAAAAAGAATAGAAGTAGAATATACGTTGATGCATATAAAACAAATAAGCAGAAGTTAAGAGCATGACAGAGCTTATTCATACTCTTACACCTTTCTTATCAGTTACATTGTCATTTTTTGAGTCGTAAACGTTTCTACAAAGTTCTGTGCTCTCACCATGATGAACAATTGGCTAATACTTATGTCTTTTTGCATTGCACTTGTTAATTCGAGAACTCTGATACAATCCAGTAATGTGAAAGATTACGATGTTAAGAAGAAAGTCATTTACACGCCCGTAAGTATTCGACTGTACTCAATCAGTTACCTATATGTTTTGAAAATTCGTTTTAACGAGGTTGTAGCATTCATAGAGCGCGAGAATATACAGTTTCACCATGAATACGGCGAATTTCTTAAGTTTTAAATATACACCTTAATCAAAACCGCGTTTTTGCCATCAATAATTCGCGAGAAACGCGTTTATGATCATCATAACTTTTTAAAAACGCCTTTTCAGTCGCAGCAAACGTCAAGACTCACGGACGACACCGAATTTTTCGCGTTCAGGACCCGATTGAAACGAGTTTAATGCGTTTTGGCTAG